TGTTGTTGTTTGGAATAAAGTGATTATTGTTATTATCATCATTATTTTTAATTACAAAAGTTATAAATTAGTATTAATAGCAGTCATAACATAACAGATAGAATAACGATGCAAAACATACTAATCTTGTAGTAGGTTCAAAGCAATCACAAATTCTTTCTGTGCAAAGAGACAGGCGTGTTTAATTGAAAGCCCGTCTACTGACAGCGTCAGTATTATTTATCCGTATTCTAGAAGATGGTTTGTTTATCGAACTGTGTTTGCTATTGAATATGAGCCAGACTTTATCAACAATTAGGCAAATGCTTGATCTCATGAAATGCACATTCGCTTTCATGTAGTACTACCTGTATGGCATGTGCTACTGATAAGATCTATCAGTACTTTACTTTCCAATTAGATCCTCATCTCTGGTTCTACTCTAATATACACGTATAGCATTTTTATTACAATACACAACAGTTTACCAATCAAGTGGCACTGATATGTTTGTTAACAATAATTAGTCAGTGTCAACATGTCAAGGCGACGGGTGATAATTAACGAAGAAAATCAATACACATTTAAAAGGTAGAAATGGTTAGAATAAATTAATTTTACAAGGATAACACGTAATTAAAGATGAAGTGGTCAAAATAAATAAAAATAAAATAATTTGAACAATTATAATTTAATAGGGGGAGGGAGGCGACGTAGTTCTGTTTATGCATTCTTCTAGAGATGGCCTCGGTAAGGAAAGTGGCTGTACAAATTTCTTCTGTACACACAGGTTTGGCTTCTTCAGGTGGATTCCGATTGCTTCAGCTGTCGTATGTAGAAGACGAACTCGTAGACCAAAATTACGATTAGTTAGAATGCGATAAATAATTTTAAATGCAGTATTCACATCAACCTTATGCTCAGTATCAACAAGGTGTGCTAAAACAGAACTAGGAATAGATCTTGTTTGTCCCTTGCTTAACCCTGCTGCACGATGATGTTCGGAAATACGACGATGAACCTGCCCAATTGTACGCCCAATGTGGCTGGCTTCGCAGCTGCAGTCAAACTGGTAGATACACATAGAAGAGGCATATTTAGGTAGTTTATCCTTATTTCTCGAACATAGAATAGGGGTGGTTGTGAAGAGACAACGTACCTCTGCTGCATAGTAAGCTCTTTTAACTGCATTCTTCAGGCACTGTGTTATGATTTCACTGATGTTGTCTCCGAGGAACTGCAATTTTATGAACATTGGTTTTTTCGGAACTGTAGCCATACTGACTCATATCACTATTATTATTACTACTTTATGTATTCACACCTTTGTTTAAATTTCCTCACGGGATATGATTTTTTCTTAAAAACAGTATACATGTGCGATTGCACAGCATGATAATAAATTCGTTGTTGAAAAAAGTCTCTTTGCTGAATCACTTGTTGTAATTTTTTAGACTAAAAATAATCTCTGACTTTATTCCTCAATTTCAGTAATGAAATATTCTGTTTTCTTTTTTTTATTATTCCTATAGAACCTGAAGGTCATTCACATTTTACCTACCTAACTATCTATCTTGTTGTTGTTTTTCTTTTCTGTTTTCTAGGATGCAAGAATATAATGTAAAACCAGAAGATAAAGTTATTTGTTTCGGTCAATTACTTGGAATGTGTGATCAAATCAGCTTCACACTAAGTAAGTGAATCATCTGTTTCTAGAACTGTGTGTGTGTGTTAATTGGGCATTTGATTTATGGTGTGTACCAATTCCCCCCCAATTTAGACTAGCTAGACCCCTATTCCACGGGTGGTTTAAAGTGATTCAGCTCTTTGAGCAGCTAACTGAGTCAAACCGGGATGCACCGCTGCTGACTGAGGTCCACTCTAAACGATCGATGTTCAAAGCACTTCGATCTAGTTAGCTAGCAAGTATTACTGAAACGGTAGAAGACGAAATATAAGTATAAAACTTGGGCACTGTGGTGGTAGAGTATAACTCCATTATGGATAAGATTTTATTTTCATAAATCACACAGTGTTTGTTATACAGTAATATCAACTGATGACCACATTTCGAGCACAAACTATTGCCACTCATATCAAGGCATTGCTCACACAACTTTTTCCTTCATTTATATACATGTGTGGAATTGATTAGATATGTGAATAAAAATCAGTATGAGATAATGTACATTCAAAAATAAATAATATGAGTGTTATCAATCAAGTACAATCAGATGGGAAATCAGACGAGTGTTTTTATAGTCAAAATAAGTAACTTGTTAGAATGTTGTGATGTGCTTGAATTGAAATAGAATTTTGAGATTATTTATTATCCTTCTCTGATTTGACTGACTGACTGGTGGTAATAATATCTTGCATATCTCTGGTACTAGCGATGATGAGTCACTTCTATTGCATGTGTTGTGTTCTGTTGGGTGTAGACTCGATGAACCAGGCAGGATTCAGTAATCAATCTCTCTCTCCACCTATATAGATAACTTTTTAGAATCTTAACCCTCTCCCACCCGCTTTGTGTGGTTGTGTGTTAATGCATGCAGTGCATTTGCTGAGTATTTCTTCTAAATTACTCATCTTCTCTGGGTCAACCATTCTTACCTTTGCTAAATTCTTATGTTCTGACAGTCGGATTACCCCCGATTTGAATGTACATTATCCTGTATTGATTTTTATTCAAATATCTACTCAATTCCAAACATGTATATAAATGAAGGAGAAAAGTTGTGTGGGTAAGTGACTTGATATGATTATGAGTGGCAATAATTTGTGCTCGAAATGTGCTCATCAGTTAATATTACTGTATAACACAACACTGTGTGATTTATCAAAATAAAATCTTATCCATAATGGAGAAGACGAAATACATGGTAAAGGAATATTTATTTAAAAAATTAGGTATCTCTATATATCCAAATTATGTTGTACATCTTATCTTGAAATCACTATTCGCACAGATCTTCCGTGTTGTGCTACTTCTCGCCTTCCTTCATCATATTGTGTTTCTTTGTGTTCCTTTCACTCACGTCTCCCTCGTGTATCTCTGCAACATCGTATCATTTTCTTTCTCTGATATCAAATCTCTCTCTCTGCTATTTAATATTTTTATATGCCGATGAACATCTCCTTATATATATACTACTGATAAACCTAATCAGTAGCACTCGATACGCTACTAATTGATATGAGTGTCGGCCAACTTCTCATGTCAGTTAATCAGTAGTATAATACATAATGCATCCATCTTTTTTTCAGATTTATAATTTTTCGCAAAACAGTTATGAAATGATGAAGTGATATAATCTTATTTTAGGGGATTTTTCACTTAATTTCACTCAAAAAATACTTAAAGAGAAAAAGTGTGTGTTTGAATGGCTATTCTATCCGGGCATGAATTTATTCGATGTGTTTCTATTCAACCATACTCTGAAGCGCTTGACAGATAAATTCCTATTCAAGTATCATGGTGAATAAAATTCGTGATTAGAAATTTACACAGTTCAAGGTGATTGATTATACTTCACCTAGATCCAAAGCTTCCTATGGCCGATTGCCTCCAACCACCTATTAATATCAATAATTCACAGTGCAGTACATCGTGATAGTGAGCCACGTGTCTATTGGCATGGTGGACACATTGCACAAACTTGACTGATGATAGAATTCAGTCTAAACCATACGAAGGACTAGGCACACATTACACTAGTTACTAACTAGTGTCCTATCAAAGTATCCAATAGAATCCTACAGGAGATCATTTGCAAGCCTGAATAGCTCCTCAGTGGGAATGTAGCTGACTGCAGCCTTCTGGGTGATGCTGGTTCGAATGACAGTAGGGACATATGTTCCTTCGAGGTTTCATATACACCCTGCTGAGGAGTGAGTGCCAACTAGCATGACTCTCGCCGACCATGCACATGGTCCGGAGTTCGATCTCCTGCCGACGCACACCTGATATCTATGGTCGGCCTGCAAAATTCGGCCTACCGATATCACATGCTGAAAATTCCATACCTGTACCAAGAAATACGGTGTGGAATCAAGCTGTGAAAAAAAAGCTAGGTCAGGTAGGGCTTCCTGTGACCAATTGCCTCCAACCATGTAAATATCAACAATGCTTCACTAGAGTTTCCGAAACTGTCCAGATCACAGTATATAAATTTATATTATCTGATATTCAGACGTTGATTGGTTGCTGGATTTCACCATTAGCTGACATCGGATAGAAAATCATTGTAAAACCTGGATGGGAGTACTGGACAGCTGTTTTGTCCCAGTTTGGGTCTCTTCAGTAGTACACACCTAGTGGCTGAATGGTTTGCGAGCTAACTCAGGTTCTGGGTTCGATCCCCGGTGGGAGTGCACCATTGAAGAGTTCCTTCCAGGTTTTCTGATAGCTCTCTAAGCGATGTTGGCTCATGATGAAATCTTGTAGTCAATATATTATCTGACTGATATCATCATTGGTAATCGAGAAAGCAGGCGTAATAATAATTACACAACGCTATATGCTACTACTGATTGACTGATATAAGTAGTCGAATACCACTCAAATCAATCAGATTTAAGTAGTCTAGACACATCACGATCTCTTGGCTAGTTTCGAAATCGAGCTCTTCAAATGTGTAACTAGATGATTACAGCTCAGATAGCTAAATCAGTTCAAACCACCGAAATTCCGTCCAGATAGGTAATTAATTTGGCCAAATAATACAAGACTTTGAATCTTATCGGTCACTAAAGTTTACGCGTATATGTATCATTCAGATTGATGCTGATTGGAATTAGGCAGTAAGTAAGTTACATACTCATATACTCTTTGCAATCTAGATATAATGGAGAAGATTTGTAGCTCAGGTAGATGATTTTAATGTAGTTGTGTTCTCTGACCTGAAGAATGGTTTATTTACGAAGTTCACCCCCTCCCCTACTAGACAACATCTTCAGCTTATGCTTGAAATTTCAAACACGACTGCCTCAAAATCTTTGCAATCCCCTATTATTATTAATTATTAGTATTGTTTCCTTTAATTCCTAGAGGAATATAGGGCTTCAGCGGTGCGTCTCCATTGCGTTCGGTTCTTTGCTAGAGTCTTCACCTGGCTCCAAGTCTGTCCACATGCTTTCATCTCCTCTTCACATGACCCCCTCCAAGTCACCCTCGCATTGACGACCAACTCACCGATTCCCTTTCGGTCGGGTTCCACTCGAGCCTTGGCTTGTCTAGTGATGTCACTTGATGCTTTGTTTCCTCAGAGTATGGCCAGCCAATCCATCTCCATTTCCTCCTGCCTATTTGTTTCACAATTGGTTCCTGGTTGGTTCACTCATTAACAGATATCTCTGTTGCTGATCTTTTGTGGCTGGCCATCTGATCTTGAGTATTGAGCGAAGACAATGTTAATGAAGGTGTGTAGTTCGTTTGAGATGCTCTTTATGACGCTCCAAGTCTCTGATCCATATAAGAAGTAGCACTGACTTCACATTGGAGTTAAAAGTCCGGATCTTATTTTGATGCTGAGTGCTGTTGACCTCCACACAGACTTGAGAGTAGTGAAAGCTTGTCTTACTTTTCCGATTCTCGCCTTGATATCCTCGTCAGTTCCGCCTTTAGGTAAAAGAGGTTGTTTCTTTCAGGTTCCTTCTATTTATGCTCATTGTTGTCTGTTGTTGTTGTTTGCAATCCCCTGGATCCATTCATTCCTGATTCCTCCTCCTCTTCTTCTTCTTCCAGTTGTTATTCCTTTTCCTGTAACATTTCAGTTTATTATTAGTATCTCAGTTCTGCTCTACCATTTATGTGTGTGCTTTTATTAGGAATTAGGGCAACTGAAACTGTTGTACTTTTATGAGAATTTCTATGTGGAAAATTCTGTTCAGTTTCACATGAATAGTTTGTTTTTGGTATATTTTATAAAGTGAATACAGCTCACTTAGTTTAGTTGAGGTGTTGGCTAATAATAATCAGTAAATACTATATCAAAAGTTTTATAGAGTATAAAATAATCAACGCATTTTTTCGCATAACCTAAAATTTGGTAAGTACTTGAAGAGTTCTGTTTTTGGGGAACAATATAATTATGAGATATCATTAAGAGATTTTAGAGTTGCTAATCCTGTTGTTGCACATATTGTTAGATATACAGCTTTTAAGCTAGAACGCGAACGCTTTGGTTTCAGTCAGAGAATCATTGAAAACTCCCATAGAATACTGATGGACAGCTATTTCGTCCCTGTCTGGGACTCCTCATCGGTACATGTTCATCACTCTACCAGAGAATCCAACCATGGGACCTACAGATCATGAGGCGTACTCGTTGCCCATTCAGCCACTGAGCGAATGGAATACAATGGTTCATCAATTCTAACTTCTCCCCGATCCGCTATAATTATATATTGCGGAACAGCCTGTCAATATGTCCTCACACCCAACTTGGTGTACTCCACTGTTCACGCACTTTTCTCACTAGAACTGTAGGTGAATTCGGGTGGGAGGAAAAGACAAACATCAAGTTAAGCGTTATTAATGGGAAATGCTGTTCAGGATTTAGAGAGAGAGAAAAAAAGCGATTTCACCCTAACATTTAACCGTAGTACCTCGTAACCTAGCTTTACTTAATCTAACACTGATCCCTCCAATCTCTTTCCTAAAACCCTAGTCATTTAGACGAATACTGA